ATTTTCTTTGTTGTTTTCCTCTCTTCCTTTGTTTTAGGTTGAGACGAGCTGGAGGCGGTGGCGTAGGACGAGCGAGATGGTGGTCACTGTTTGATGATATATTATGCTTCCGCCTGTTTATGATTTGTTGAACTGAAACTTGACTTGAATTATTTTCTCGTTTGGATTTGGATATTTTATTATGTGTTTATATCCCTGCTTGATTTCGTATACTGATTATGTGTTGTGCAAGAACTTGTTACTTAATCATTTGCTTTCATACTTTGGATTATTTATTTATTTGCCTTCGAACTATGTTTGAGTTTCGTTTGAACCTTCTTTAATGCTAGACGTTTGGAAATGATTTTGAGATTTATGTTTTATGAGACTGTTTATTTGATAGCTTAAGCATGTGTAGGTTCTTTGGATTGATTGATTGGATGTGTTCATTTGCTGTGGTTAATAAGTAGCGCCCGTTTCTCGATAAATGTTTTAATTTAGATTTTAAAAAAAAAAATAACTCTGATTTTTATCAAATAAATTCGGTAAATTCTTTAAAATAAAACGGGGCGTTACAGCAAGTGGCTTCCTTCATCCTATACGCATGGCATCTCTTAGCATGGTCTTGGAGTTCTACAACCTGACTTGCACGAAAATTTGGAGCATCTTGCTGAGCATATGGCTGAAGGGAGCAGGTCTGGTGGTGGCAGCACTATAGGAAAAGGTCCCAAGCATAAAAAAAATGCACATGAACATGTCCACTCACCTTAAAATATTCTTAATGACCCTTGACCAACCTTAAACACACGTAGTGCTTTCTTGAGCTTAATTTACTCCCTTAATTCTCCAGAATAACCGCATAATCTTGGGCCATGGATTTGGGCTCGGAAAAACTCCACATTGGGCTGAAGAATGCCACTCGCGTTGGGTAGGCGCTGGGCCTTGCGCACGGCCTGCTGGGCGCGGAACACTTGCGCGCGGGCTGAAAACAAGGCCAACTCTTGGGCCGAGTCTATGGCACTACCAAGGCTGAATAAATATGCCATGACACATAGAAAATTCCATGCATAACCAAGGCCTTGGCTTGGCAATGTAGTGGGCTCGCGGCACTCGGCGCGAGGCATGCTAGAGCTCGGCATCACTTGGGCCGAACACATCACATATCCAAGGCTGCCATGGGACCTTGAATACTGAGGAAAATTCTCCTTAACTCTCGGTGATGACTTGGTGCGGACTTGGCACGGCTTTGGCCCTAACTCGCGAACCCTAGGCGCGAGTGATCTCTAGGCCACGCACGAGCTAGGTGCGGTATAAACGATCGAGAGAAATGATATCTAAGACTCGATGAACATGATCTCATACTTAGAAAATATTCTAAGTAAGATTATGAGCACGGCTAGGGCTCGAACGATACTCGACACGGCTAGGGCTCGAACGATACTCGACACGGCTAGGGCTCGATATTCGACTAGGTGCGAACTAGGCGCGATACTCGTGACCGAACGATTCGGTTCCAGACACGGCTTGTCTTCGACGATATATCAAAACGTACTCAGTTTCGATTATTCGTCAACTTAGATAATTAATTCCGATTGAATAAAATCCATTTCTACAATAAATAGACCGGAATTAATAACTAAGATTGAATAGTTGATACTTGGGCTCGGAACTCAAGACAAGCAGTATTAATAGAAAGAAATAGTTCAACTTGAAACTAAAAACTGTCATTTTTATTAATACAGAACTAGGCTATTACAATTTATCCTTCTTAAAAATATTTCCATCCTCGGAAATACTAAAACTGGAGAATACATACAACTAGATACAATCAGAACTGAAAATTTGGAAAATGAGCTCTGATGTCCGCTTCGCGCTCCCATGTGGCATCTGAATCTCCGTGGCGATTCCATCTGATACAAACGAGGGAAACATCTCGGTTCCTGAGCCGAAGAACCTTTCGACCCAGGATTGCTACTGGCTGCTCCTCGTAAGTCAAATCTGGCTGAAGCTAAATCTTGCTGTGCTGAAGCACATGCTCGGGATCGCACACGTATGGGAGTAACATCGAAATGTGGAACACGTTATGCACGCTAGCCAACTCGAGAGGCAGAGCTACTCGGTAGACGACTTCGCCCACTCGCTCGAGAACCTCGAACGGGCCTATATAGCGAGGATGCAACTTTCCTCTCTTCCCGAAGCGAACGACACCTCTCATCGGTCGAACCTTCAGGAATACATGATCTCAGGGCTCAAAATGCATCTTTCGTCTATGCTTGTCGGCTGAGGACTTTTGCCAACTCTGGGCTTTCTTGAGCCTCTCTCTGATCCAGGCTACTTGCTCAACTGTCTTCTCGATCAACTTCAGACCGAGTACTCGTCGCTCTCTGATGTCATCCCAATAAAGGGGCGAACGACACTTGCGGCCATAAAGTGCTTCGTAGGGGGCCATCTGAATCGACGCCTGATAACTGTTGTTATAGGCGAACTCAACTAGTTGCAGCCACTTCTCCCACTTAGCACTTTTGTCCAGAATCAAGGCTCGGATCATATCCTCGAGCATCTGGATCGTCTTCTCGGACTGGCCGTCCGTCTCTGAATGGTAAGCCGAACTGAACTTCAACTGGGTGCCCATTGCCTCATGCAAACACTCCTTGAATCTGCTGGTGAATCTGGGATCTCGATCGGATATGATCGTAACGGGCACTCTGTGGAGTCAAATGATCCCACGGGTATATATCTTGGCTAACTGATCCATCGACATGGTGATCGTCACAGACATAAAATGTGCGACTTTCGTCAGCCTGTCTACCACTACCCAAATTGCGTCGTGATGCTCAGATGACTTAGGTAGTCTCGTGACGAAGTCCATGGTAACCTCTTCCCACTTCCAGCTGGGAATCTCAAGTGGCTGTAGAAGACCTATGGGACTTTTGTGCTCGGCCTTAACTTGCTAGCAGACCAAACATTTCCTCACGAAGTATGCTACATCTCTCTTCATTCCTCGCCAACAGAACGACCTTCTCAGGTCGTGGTACATCTTAGTACTCCCAGGGTGGGCTAAATATGGCGCACTGTGGGCCTCAGTCAGGATTTCCTTGCGTAAAGTCCTGACTTTTGGCACGACAATGCGGCCTCTGAACTCCAAGGCTCCACCTGTGCCTCGGTAAAAGCCCTCTATGCCTCCAGCGTGAACCTTCGCTTCTAGGGTGCGAATGAACTGATCGCAGGATTGCTCCCTCCGGATTCTATCTCTCAGCATGGGCTGAACTCGCATCGAGCTAACACCCCCTGAAATCTTCTTAGGAAGTGAGTCGACGACCTCAATCTGCATCTGGGCAAACTCTCTGAGAAGTTGGCGCTGGTCGGTGATAGAACAAGCTAGCTCACCCCTCACCTTTCGGCTTAGGGCGTCTGCTACCACGTTCGCCTTCCCCGGATGGTACTGTATGGTGCAGTCATAATCCTTCACAAACTCCAACCATCGCCGCTGGTGCATGTTGAGCTCCTTCTGTATGAAGATATACTGCAAACTCTTGTGATCGGTAAAGATCTCAAACTGACCACCGTACAGATAATGGTGCCAAATCTTGAGTGCATGCACAATCGCTGCCAACTCTAGGTCATGCGTAGGGTAATTCAGCTCAAGTGACTTCAACTGACGTGAAGCATACGGGACGACTTGGCCATCTTGCATCAGCACACACCCAAGACCCTACTTCGAGGCATCATTATAGATGGTGAAACCCTAAGTAGGATCCAGAATAGTCAGCACTGGAGCCGTCGTAAGCCTCTCCTTGAGCTCCTGAAAGCTCTTCTCACAACGACTCGTCCACTCAAACTTCACAGATTTCCTCGTCAACTTGGACAAGGGGAGGGCAATCTTCGAAAATCCCTCGATAAATCTGCGATAGTACCCTGCTAGACCAAGGAAACTGCGGACCTCGGTGGGACTTCTGGGCGATGACCTGTTCCGAACTGCGGCAATCTTCGCCGGATCAACCTCTATGCCTCTCTCGGTGATGATGTGGTCTAGAAATGCCACTCGCTTCAGCCAAAATTCACACTTGGAGAACTTGGCGTAAAACTTTCCTCGTCTAAGGGTCCCGAGAACATCCCTCAGATGCTGCTCATGATCCTCCAAAGACCCAAATGTCATCAATGAAGACGATAACAAATCGGTCTAAATACTGATGGAACACCCGATTTATCAAGTCCATGAACACCGCTGGCGCATTACTCAACCCAAACGGCATAACCATGAACTTGTAGTGTCCATATCTCGTCCGGAAAGCAGTCTTGGCTACATCGGACTCCTTAATCTTCAGCTGATGATAGCTTGTGTAATGCCCCGTTTGATTATTAAACATTTGTGAATTATTTATTAATTAATTTTATTATTATATTTGCCTTTAATTGTTGTTGTTATTATTATTGATTGAATGTCTATATGATTTATCTGTTAAATTGCGATTAAATGTCAAATTGTCTAAATATGATGTATTTCCAAATTATAATTAAATGCTTAAATGTTATTATTGTTTAATTAAAATACATAATTGTATTTTTATTAATATTATTATTTTTAAAATTTAAATTGTGTGTATTATAAATATATATATATATATATATATTTTATCCGATTTAATTTATCGAGCTCAGTCTTCTCTTTCGTCTAAACCCGTGAGCCCAGCCCAATTGCTATGTAAATTTCATTGGCCCATTGTGAGATTAAAGATGATCCAATACCCTTGCAAATCCCTTGGCCCAAAGGATATTAGTTGGTGGCCCAAATTGAGCAAAGATTGAGCTGCATTATCTCCTCCTCGCAATTGCACGACCAGGTCCCAGATTCAGAACTCGTTGCGATATTTCTGCGAAAATATTCTCGCCCATTCACTCGATAATCTCTCGCAATCATCTCTTAAATCTCGGCCGAGAGAGAGACTCCCCTTCACATCAAATTCGCTAGTTCGAATTCGCGATCCCTCTCTGCTCTGTTTCGCTAAGCGCCGCCTGAATTTCTGTCGCCATTTTTGTCCGGCGAGCCCACCTTCGAGCAGCAGAGGCCATTCTCTTTTTCCGCCCCGAGCAAGCCGTCGGTTTCCTTTTCAGCGAACAACCCGGATTGTGAAATTTCAGCCGGCGACTTCAGCGAGGTCGGCCGTCGCAATCAACGGGAAGCACCCGGCCATCGCCGGAGGTGCGGCCTCAGTCCGATAGCCACATCAAATCCCGTTCGATCAGCCCCTACTCGCCAAGAAACCCAGCGGAGATGTGTCTGTTCACGTCGGGAATTTACCCATCCAGCGTCGGCAGTTCCCGCACGCGACAGTTCCTTCACCGCCGGTCTTCGTCCGCAACAGCCGTCCCTTCACGTCAGCGGCGCCGTCGTCATTTCAAGCTGGCGACCATCGTTTTTCCTTCCAGCGAGCAGTAGCGGCCCTCTTGTTCAGTATCGGTGGGAGATTTCGAGCAGCGGGTCTCGTCTTTCTTCACCATTGCCGACCCAGGCCGAGGAGCAATAAGTTCCGACGATTTTTCCTCAGCCGTGCGATCACAGCAGTTTCCGTTCCCTTCACGGCCTGCCGGAGAAGAGAATTCCACAGCCATGTGCCTCGTTCAGCGTCCGAACAACAGCGGCATCCCCGTCGGCCTTCGTTTAGCGGCCCAACCATCAGCGGCAGACCTTCGAGCCCCGTACGAGAGTAGCGGCAGACGTCGAGGCCTCTCATCAGCGGCCGGGAGCAAAGGGCGTTCATCCGAGACGAGCCGTGGCCCGAGGCCTCCATCCCCGGTCCCTCTTTTGCTGCACGTATAGTCCCCCGACGAGAGGTGATTTTCGCCAAAATCCCCTTTTCTTTGTGAAATCTGGACCTTACAAGTTGTGTTATACATGGTGTGCAATGTGAAATTTAGATAACCGTGGATATTTGGGAATGAATTTGGTGTCATTTTCTTGGGTGTTTATTTGTGTAATTGGCTATATAATGAACATGAGAATGAGATACGCTTTCTTGTTGTTGGCCCGAGTTTTACGGACTGTTTTTGCTGAGATAGTATGATGCGTTTTAGCATGCTGTAGATGTAGTATTTTTAGAGATTTTTTTTCGGTTATTTGGCCCTTGAATGTTATTAACTCAAACATGAGAAAAGGAAATGAAAGATAGGCTTATTGGGTTGTTTCCTTGGCCATTTGTGATGTTGTTGCTGAAGCTCATGGTGTCTTTTCGTATGCTTAGCGTAGGTGATTTTTTTTTTTTTGGCTGTGAATCAGTTAAGTCATGTGGGCTTAATAATTTTCTTGTTTTGGCCTAGTTCTATGTTGTTTATGATACGCTAAAATTTGTGAGAATTGCGAATTATTGTGTGATTATTTGTTTGAGATTGGCGGTAATTCTGACTTGAATTTGAGTATTTATATTTGTGTGTTTAAAATTGGGAATAGAGATGTTGTTGAACTCGTACTAGTTAGATTTGGTTGATTATTGGAGTTTCAAGCAGCATGATTTTCTGATTTGAGCTGGTTTAGATGTTCTGGTGATACCTTTTCTAGACTTGATTGATTTTAGTCTCATGGGACATATTCGAACACTTAATCATATTCAAAGTATTTTTAATGGTCTCCTACTTTTTGTTGAATTTATATTTGTTGATGATGATGTTTCCTGACTATCATGGTAAAAGGCTTTTGTGAGTTTGGATGTAACTTATCAATCGTGTTCTTTATCCAACCCAATGATTTCGCAATTACTCTAGTCGGAGTCAATAAACTATCATCCAAATTATAACCATTGTAGTAAGCTTTGAGGCCTTAGATATTGTTTTGTGAACTTGAAAAATATGTTTAAGTACTTTTGACCCGGCAGTGCTCGTAGAATTTAGGAACTCATTTTATCCATTTAAATTGCTTTTATTTAATTTATATATCTGCCTTATCTGCCNATTTGTCATTTTTGCTGAGGTTTGTTGTTGGTGCTTGAGTTTCTGCAGTTGTTTGGCTGTTACTAAATGTGATGTTTTTGGGAATTTTTGTTTTTAGTTAGTTCGTAGAGGTATCTAGTGTTTGAGCATAACAGTGTCATTTCTACGCATATTTAGCATCTTTTTTTATGGTTTGTAGTCTAAGTTCTAGTGTTTGATATATTATTTTGTTATTGGTTTTTACATCACCAAATATATATTACTTCTTGGATGGCATTTTACGTAGTGTTGAAGTTGGACATTTACCCTTCATATAACTTGATGACCATTAACTATATAGCTTACAGTTATGTAATTCATCCAGGTTAAGAACTGAAGTTCTGAGCAAGTGTTGCCTATCTAGATCTTTGAGTTTTGAATATGATTGATTACAAAAAAGATCCGTGAAGTGTCGTTCTAACAACAAAGTATATTTTTCATAATTACAAATCCCCCTTTACATGCATTTTTCATAAATTGTGTCCCTCCATTGATTTTCTTCTAATGACATCATGGTTATGTCGATAAATATTGGGATTTTTTTTTTTTGGTTTGTTCAAACCTCACCAATTTATACTTACATTTTTAAAACCAAGATTTGTTTCTTTCATTTATTTGTAGAAAACCCGTCAAATCCATAGCATCATTCTTGAAAAGATGTCTGCCCCGTGTAACTAATGATTAATCCCCGTATTTCTGTAGTGCCATATCTAAGTAGATTTTTTCTTTGTAAATGCCATATCTAATTGTAACTGACATCAGATTTTATAATTGGAGTAGGACAATTAAACTGCTCTTGATATTTTTTCTCGGATTAGAAGTTTTAATAATTATGTTCGTTTTGATATTAATTTACTTATTCTGATTCGCTTTTGTTATTAGCTCTTTCTTGCATTTCATTTGAACATGACAATTTTCCCACTTTTCTACAACATGAATAATACCCAATTTGGACTTCACAACAACTTTTAGTAATTGTGTTTTATAGTAATTGTATTTCTACTCTTGTTAATTTTTCTTGGATTAGGAGTTTGAATAATTATATTGATTTTCATATTAATTTGCATGTTCTGATTAATTTTTCAAGTTCTTGCACATGTACAGGTTATTAAAGCTCTTGCACATGTACATGTACTTGTTACATTTATAACATTTATAACATGTTGGTTTGTAACTTCGGATGACAGGTTATTTTGGTATGTAATGTTGTTGAGCATTGGGTGGTGTGCCGGGTACGGTTAGTGGACTGGGAGATCGAGCTTTACGACTTCTTTAGCCACCTTTCATCATCAAAGGTGTGTAATGACCGAGAGCTTATGTTGACCCCTCTCCGACGACTACTTCCCACACTACTTCACCGGTCCGGTTACTTTGAAACTATGAATATTCCACCCAAGTTAAATGTCTTATCAATTAAGAGAATGCCGAGTGAAGTTCAGTTTGGATACCCATAATTGTGGTGTATTTGCTTGCATGTACGTTGAACGCATGCTTGGCGAGGACATTCCCAGCCGGACATAAGTTTATATAGACAGAAAATGGCATTAGCAATTTATGCTCATAGTATTCCCGTGTCGAAGTAATGTCATTTTTTTGGTGCTTTGGTTGTGTATTGCTATTGCCAATTATAGTGTATTTGATATTTTGACAATTGTGGTCTTTTTGTGGTCTCATAGTACTTTTGTTGACGAGCATTGGGTTTGTGTTGTTAAACAATATAGCTCTGTTCTTCTCTGCGATTCGCGAACAAATCCCGCTAGTCGCGACCCTGGGAAGCTTGTAGCCTGTATTCTGTTCTTCACTGTGACTCGTGAGTTCCTCCGTGAGTCGCGAAAAAGAATGCATCATTTAAAACAATTACTCCGTGAGTCGCGAAAAAAATGCATCATTTAAAACAATTACTGAGTCGCGAAAAAAAAATGCATCATTTAAAACAATTACCAATTCGAACAAGTAAAGAAAGGTTGTTTTCTATGTAAGTATTTGATATTTACTTGAATAAATATGCATATAGTACAGAATGCATGATAAATCATTTTATCATGCAATGTTGAACTTTGTATTAGCTTCAAATAACAAAAAAAAGTACAGGTATCTCCACCAACAATGTCATAAACTCTATTTAAAAAGTTTTCATATGAAGCGGTACGTTCAAATAACTTTGAATATTTTGGCGTAAGTGGTACGTGCAAATAACATGAGTTGCTTCGGGGTAAACAACCTCCAAAGCCGACTTGATGCTTAGGTGTTGATCAGAAACAATGACCAAGTTTTCGGGACATCCGAATACATTACGAAGCGCATGTAGAAACCACGCCCAAGCATTGTGCGCTTCCATGTCACCTATACCAAAAGTCAATGGAAATATCTGCTCATTTCCATCTTTTGTTGTTGCTACGAACAGAATGCCTTTATATTGACCCTTCAAATGAGTACCATCAACCACAATCACAGGGCGACAATAATTAATGAATCCGTTGGAGGCATGTAAGGCAAAGAATGCGTACTTGAACATGTCATCGTCATTTGTCTCATAGCATGTGGTGGTTCCAGGATTTTCTCTCATCAACATATGAAAATATCCAGGCAAAAGTTCTCAAGATTTATTATGATCTCCATAAACGAAGTCATACACGACATTATGAGACTTTAGTGTTTTATTGTATTTGAGCGTAATACCATGATCACACTCTAGAAATGATTCCCAATAACTAGTAATTAAGCAATCAATGTTTAATAAAAAAAATAAAATTTGAAATAGAAATGATTTTTGGAATCACATAAATGGTTTATACGATTCGAAAACAGATTTCTGGGACCAGAAATGACGTTTCTGGGACCTGAAATGACGTTTCTGGGACCAGAAATCGATTTCTGGACCCAGAAATCGATTTCTGGATCTTCTGATTTCTGGTCCTAGAAAACGATTTCTGGAGCGAGAAAAATATTTATGGGGTACATCATTGGCTAGAAATCGATTTCTGGATCTTCTGATTTCTGGTCCCAGAAATCGATTTCTGGAGTACATCATTGGCTATAAATCAATTTCTTTCTGAGACCAGAAATACCAGAAACCAATTTCTGGATCTTCTAGTTTCTTGGACCATAAATCGGTTTTCTGGGTCCAGAAATCGATTTCTTGGCCCAGAAAGCAAAGAAATCGATTTCTTGGTCATTTCTGGAGACAGAAATCGATTTCTGGTCTAGAAATCGATTTCTGGATCTACATGTTTCTGGGACCATAAATCGGTTTTTTGGGTCCAGAAATCGATTTCTGGATCTTCATGTTTCTGGGACCATAAATTGGTTTTTTGGGTCCAGAAATCGATTTCTTGGTCCAGAAAGCAAAGAAATCGATTTCATGGTCATTTCTGGAGACAGAAATTGATTTCTGGGACAAGAAACCAGAAATCGCATAAATCAATTTCTTGCACCAGAAATCGATTTCTGTGATCAGAAATCTATTTCTGGAACCAGAAACCCCAGAAATCGATTTCAGCGATTCTGAATGATTTCTGGATCAGAAATCATTCAATGTTCAAGAAATTATTCATGCCCACAGAAATTTTTTTTTTTTTTACCAATATTCATGTTATTAATTTGAATACTATGTATGATAGCAATTAACAAAAAAGAGAAATTATAGACATACTTTTACACTATTATTTTCGATTTATCACCGTAATGTGGCCGGAATTTTTGTAATATGGAGGGAGAGTGATTTTTTATTTTTTTTATGAGAATGTTTTTTTTTTAGATGAGAGATAAAATTCAAAATGTAGGAGTGAATGTCATAGGAAAAAAACACGGATGAGAAAAATGATGAAGTTGTGCATTTTTGTCATTTAGATTAACAATTTTTTATTTTCTTTAAAAAAATAGATAGTAAGGTCAAATTTGTCATTTTAAGTGCCAAAATGGCTAAAAAAGATATTTTTACCAAACTATGGCTAAAATTTGTGTTTCACAATTGAAAATGGCCAAAAAAAAAATTCACTGTTTTTTTATTTTGTTTTTTTTGGCTGTGAATCAGTTAAGTCATGTGGGCTTAATAATTTTCTTGTTTTGGCCTAGTTCTATGTTGTTTATGATACGCTAAAATTTGTGAGAATTGCGAATTATTGTGTGATTATTTATTTGAGATTGGCGGTAATTCTGACTTGAATTTGAGTATTTATATTTGTGTGTTTAAAAGATGTTGTTGAACTCATACTAGGTAGATTTGGTTGATTATTGGAGTTTTAAGCAGCATGATTTTCTGATTTGAGCTGGTTTAGATGTTCTGGTGATACCCTTTTCTAGACTGATTGATTTTAGTCTTATGGGACATATTCGAACACATAATCATATTCAAAGTATTTTTAATGGTCTCCTACTTTTTGTTGAATTTATATTTGTTGATGATGTTTCCTGACTATCATGGTAAAAGGCTTTTGTGAGTTTGGATGTAACTTATCAATCGTGTTCTTTATCCAACCCAATGATTTCGGAATTACTTTAGTCGGAGTCAATAAACTATCATCCAAATTATAACCATTGTAGTGAGCTTTGAGGCCTTAGATATTGTTTTGTGAACTTGAAAAATATGTTTAAGTACTTTTGACCCGGCAGTGCTCGTAGAATTTAGGAACTCATTTTATCCATTTAAATTGCTTTTATTTAATTTATATATCTGCCTTATCTGCCTGATTTATCTTAATTGTTTGTCTGATTAATCGTTTCATTGCCTTGTTTTCCTTGCCTGTTTTGTGCCTTAATTAAATAATTTTCGGAGTGGTGAGATAAAATATTAATGGGGATTATCTCGCTAAATTTAGGTTTCCGAGAAGTCGAGCCCTCAAACCTACCATGATCCTTGCTTTTGTCTTTCCGGTCTTTTTCGACCAGGTGGGTTTAATGTAAAAATTATCTATGTTGTAAATGTTATTACTGTTTTAAATTTTTGGTATGATGCTTTTGTCTTTCCGGTCTTTTTCGACCAGGTGGGTTTAATGTAAAAATTATCTATGCTGTAAATGTTATTACTGTTTTAAATTTTTGGTATGATCAAGTATGCATGTGGAACATGTAGCCTTCGATGTGAGCTGTACCGGCCGTCGAACGGTTATCCCCGTATCTATAGAACGTACCCGTTGGGTAGTCTCCTTATTATTGTGAGCCGTAAGTCCTGGGTTAAAGGTCCCTGTGCTGGACGCATTTTGAGCCGTAAGTCCTGGGTTAAAGGTCCCTGTGCTGGACACATTTTGAGTCGTAAGTAAGTCCTGGGTTAAAGGTCCCTGTGCTGGACACATTTTGAGCCGTAAGTCCTGGTTAAAGGTCCCTGTGCTGGACAACCCCGTTGGTAAGACCAAGGTGAGGCCTTGGCCGGCGGAATACTCCTACTGGCCGGACACTCGTTGTAAGGCCTTAGATAAGGCGTTCGGTATATAGTTCGGCAGTAGTCTATTGCTATAGGTGTGCACATGAGTCTATTATTGATATGATTGATAGGAGATTGGGATAATTAATTGAGTCGTATTCATGCTGAGACCATACCTTATTGATTATTGATTACTGTTTCATTATTGTGAATAATGTTTACTGCATAGTGGTGAGCACTACTTTTCCAACTGTGCTCACCCACCTGAAATTCACGTTTCAGGTTAAGCGAGGCAGGTACGACGGCGGAGTAGAACGAGTGGTGGTCGGTCTATGAGACCGGTTATTAATTGATTTTGCTTCCGCTATATTTATGACTATTTATGATTTATGCATTTCTGAACTTTGAGAATTTATGGAGTATTGAGATACTATTGGAGAGATGCCCCGTTGACATTGTCATGTCTTTGAACTTGAGATTTATTTTGGAAACCCGTTTTGGGCGAATTGAGAATTTATGGATTTATGAATCCCGTTTTGGGAGTTAGATGGTTTATGTTATGGTAGTGATTCGAACTAAATGAGTAACGCCACAAATGCTTGTAATAAATTTGAAAAATTTATTCTGATTTTCGGCAAATAAAAGTGGGGCGTTACAGTTTGGTATCAGAGCCAGTCTGCGTTTCTGTAGACTGATATTGTAATATCCCATTCAGTAATTAATAAAAGTAAATATTTTAGTTCTAAGTTTGAACTAATTACTTTTATTAATAATGCTCGTTCCTAGTTCGAGCCCAGTTATTAAGTTATTCAGTTAAAAGTTTGACTTTAAGTTGAAAGTATTCTCGGTTAAATTTTATTTAGTAATCGAGCCAGTTCAGTAATTAATTAATTCTGGTCTGTTTATTTTTATAAATGGATTTATAAGATGGGATTAATTATAACAAGATGACAAATAATAATAATAATAAAAAAAAAAAATCGAGTATATTTTGGTTACTCGTTCAAGATAAGTCGTGAACCGAACCAAGCATGTTCGGTTACGAGTTAAGATTTTTACCGAGCAAATGATTCTCGAGCCTAGCTTAGTTTTCAG